CTGCTAGCCCAGCCCTGCCCCCCCCCCCACCTCCTGCCGGTGCCCCTCACTCCCGACCCGCCAGCCCCTGCTAGCCCAGCCCTGCCCCCCCCCCCACCTCCTGCCGGTGCCCCTCACTCCCGACCCGCCAGCCCCTGCTAGCCCAGCCCTGCCCCCCCCCCCAGCCCTGCCGGTGCCCCTCACTCCCGACCCACAGCCAGGTCTGCTGCACTCAGTGGCTGGCCAGGGTGGGGGCAGACGGGGAATCGCACAGAGCGGCTCGATTCGCACCCGTGCCAAGCAGCGAGACTGGAGTCCTGCCAGCCACTCTTTAATGGCCCGTCTGGGAACGACGGGGCAGTGCCCCCCGCCCCCGGGCGCACACAGCTCCCGCCCAGTTCCATGGCCCTGCGCCTGCCTCGCTGCTGGGGGGCCCGGGGAAACACACCGGGAGGGAAGTTGCGGTTCTGGCGGCAGAGAGCCGAGCCCACGTTTCCGCTTGGCCCGTTCTGGGCCGGCTCAGCCCCCCCCAGTCAGCATTTCAGCTGGGGGTCATGCAGCTGTCGCCACAGCCGCACGGTCTGCTGGGGGCTGCGCCGATGCACCAGGAGCAGCTGGCGGTGCGCGCAGGGGTCGGCCCGGTCTTTCTCGGCGATGTCGAAGGTCTGGAACTCGGGGTGGGCCTCGGCCCGCACCCCCAGCGCCTGGAAGCACAGCCCGGTGTAGACGTCGTCGATGGGGTAGAAGGCCAGGTGCTGGGCCACCAGGAAGAGGGCCGGGGCCAGGCGGCCCGAGAAGATGTAGCCCCCCCCGCCGGCGTAGGCCGGGTACGGCCCGGCGTAGAAGGACTCGGGGATGTAGTACTTGCTGTTGGCCTGGCGGAAGGGGGAGGCGTTGGCCATGACCTGCCCAGTGTAGAGTGTCTGGGCCCGGCGCCCGGTCAGCGGCCCCAGGAAGGCCAGCACCCGCGGCGTGTTGATGAAGACGTCGTCGTCGCCCTTGAGCACGAAGCGGGCGTCAGGGCAGTGCGCCAGCGCCCAGCCCAGGAAGAGGAAATCCTTGAGGGTCAGGTTGAAGAACGTGTCCTCGAAGTCCCACACCAGGACGTCGCCGTAGACCCGGCTCTCGTAGGCGATCAGGTGCCGCAGGTCAGGCTGGTGCGGCCCGCGGGCCGCGCCCATCAGGAAGACGGTGCGCACCGGCTGCCCCCCGGGCTCTCCCTCCCGGCCCCAGGTCTCCCGCACGGCCTGGCGGGCGGCGAAGTTGCCTGGCACGGATTTGATCGCCAGCAGCAGGAAGGTCCGGTTGCCGGCGCACTTGCGGGGCTGGTTCACCAGCAGCGGGAAGCTGCGGCACTCGGCGTGCAGCACGAAGCGCTGATGCTGTTCCGGGTACGAGGCGAAGTCCCTGATGGCGGCCGCCGCGGCCAGCCCATCCCCGCAGCCCCACGTGCTGTTGGCCGGGCCCCCCTCCAGCACCCGGAAGAGCCCGTGCTGCTGGCGGTTCCAGTAGGCGTCCGCCTCGGGCACGCTGCCGCGCAGCCGCCGTAGCGAGGCGTTGAGACGGAGCAGCAGCCCCACCGGGTCGTCCCCCAGCGGCTCGGCCAGCGGGAGGGGGGTGGTGGCCCCGGCGGGCTCAGGGTGGGGCAGGCCCTCGGGCTGCTCCAAGCTCCAGTCCATGTAGGCCTTCAGGGCCAGCAGCGTCAGCAAGGCCAAGGCCACCGTCAGCAGCTTGGTCCCCTTCATGGTCGTCCGCCATCACGGAGCCTGCAAGGGAGGAGGAGGGGTTCATGTTTGTATTTTGTATCATTTCGACTGAAGGATAAAGACTAAGGAGATCGTCACGTAGCCCGTATCAAACGTGTGGCGGTGTGATTTGTGATGCCAGCCACCCTTTCTGAACGGCCGAATGGGCCATTGGGAGAGATGCATCCGCCAGAATCTCTCTGTGCAGGGCTGCCCAGAGGATTCAGGGGGCCGGGGTAAAGCAATTTTGGGGGCCCCTTCCATTAAAAAAAGTTGCAATACTATAGAATACTATATTCTCGTGGGGGCCCCTGTGGGGCTCGGGGACGGGGGCAAATTGCCCCACTTGCCCACCCCTCTGGGCGGCCCTGTCTCTGTGTCTGGGCTGATTTCAAGGCAGACACAGACCTGGGAGGGTCACCCCTTTGCTGTAGGTTTAGCATGTTAAAATAAGTCAAAAAAGACCCGGATTGTTGTTCTTCTGCATTGCAACTTGATGTTCCGGTTCAAAATGCTCCGTGTGAACGAATTCTGTTTGTGTGTGACTGAGGAACGGGTGTTGAGAGAGAAGCGTGAAGGCCTTCGCTATCAGAGGAGGGCAGGCTGACGACGCCAAAGATGAGATGGGGACAAGAGAGCTGTGGTCAAACCCAGCCTGGGGTAACTCCCTGAGAGACTCGATGGAAGAACCAGATAAAGGCTGAGAAGGACAATTTCAGAAAACAAGCCCTCGTCAAACAACAATTGATCACAGCAGGACGCTGCAAAACTCATTGGCCCCGATGAAGGAAAATCACTATATAAACAGGGGGCCTTGCCAGGAAACTTTGTCCTTTTTTAACTGGAGATATCCCATCTCCTACAACTGGAAGGGACTCTGAAAGGTCATCGAGTCCAGCCCCCTGCCTTCACTAGCAGGACCAAGTACTGGTTTTGCCCCAGATCCCTAAGTGGCCCCCTCAAGGATTGAACTCACAACCCTGGGTTTAGCAGGCCAATGCTCAAACCACTGAGCTATCCCTCCCCCAAGACTTCCCCGGAGCATCGTGTCATGACCGACGGAGCCCGGCTCCTCCCTACCCATGATCAACCAAGCTGGCCACGAGATTGATCCGGACTCTGGACTGGTAACTAGACCATCGACTGGCGGGAGTGTGTGTATCTGTGTGTGTGTGTGTGTGTGTGTGTGTGTGTGTGTGCGGTGTGATTAAATGCATATGCTAATTGTATCTCCAGTAAACGCGGCGTGTTGCCTTTTCCCCTGAGAAAGATCCTGTGTGCGTCTTATAGGCATATCAGCCCCGCTGAGAGGGGGTGGTTAGGAAACAGGGCTCGGAAGACTGTTGGGTCTCTCACCTGCCTGAACGCTCTCAGTTCCCACGGGCAACGGGACTCTTCCTAGCTTTGTGACGTGTGGCCACGTTCCACCCCAGAGCTGGCTGCATCTCGATGCTGTGGAGACAGCCACAGGAACAGAAGATTATAAACATTTGTGGCGGAACCTGCCCGGCCCCAGGGCGGGAGGAGCTGGGCAGGCCGGGGCTGATGCCGAAGGAGCGGCCGAGGAAAGGGGGGGATGGCAGAGGAGGAAGAGTCCGTGGTGCTCTCACGGTCCCGGGCTGAGCTGTGGGCATTGGAGCACAGGGCGGGTCCCTTTAGAAGCCAGGCAGCTGCTCCTCACACTCGGCTTTGCATCACCACCAGCTCCAGGGTTTGCTCATCTCCACGACTGGTAGCTAGGACAGTGGCGGCATTTAAGTGGGGCGCGAGAGTCCCCCTGGTC